GGGGTCAACGCAAGGGAGAAGAAAAATAAGAACAAAATATTGAAAGAAAAAAAAATGAAAAATTAATGTAAGAAATTAAGATCAGGTTTAGAGAAGCACTCGGTCCCTGCAGATAGGAAGGAGAAGCGCCCGCCCGCCCGTCCGTCCCCCCCCCCGCACTCTCCCCCGACCCACTACAAACCTGGCGGAGGTGCCGTGGCGGCGGCGGCCGATGGCGGCGCGCGGGGGGGCGGGCGGGCGGCAGCCTCCTTCCCCTGACAGCCTCCAACACAAACATGACCCAGCGCCGCCACCGCCGCCTCGCGCGGCCCCGGCCCTCCTCTTCTCTTCTCCTCTCCTCTCCTCTCCTCCCCGCGCCGTGCCAAACCCCCCCCCCCGCCGCTCCCGGGCCGGCTCAGGCTCCGCCCCCCCGGCGCCGAGGGGCGGGGCGTGGCCGGGGGCGGGGCGGGAGGCCCCCGCCGGGCTCCCCTCGGGGAGAGCCGCGCCGTGACCGGGGCAGGGCGGGGGGGTGGGGCCGAGCGGGGGGAGGGGGCGGGGGGGGGTGTTTTACCGTCCCTCACTTTCTATTGCAGGAAGCCGGGCCGGAGCAGTGACGTCACCGGGTCTCCCGGCCACGCCCCCACGCCCCGCCGCCGGCCCGAGCGGGAGGGGGTGGGGGAGGGGTCACCGAGGGGGTTTCCGTGCCCCCCTGCGGGCCGTACCCGCGCTCCCTCTCCCTTAGCCCCGCTCCGCCGCCGCCGGGCGCTGTGCGCGTCGCGCTCCCCCCTGCCGCCGCCCGGCCCCCGGGGCACCGGCACGGCCACGCACACGCAGCGCCGCGGCTTGACGCGGAGATCCCGGAGGTTCCTCCCTCTCTTCCTTCCTCCCTCCCTCCGTCCGTCCGTCCCTCCCCGCCCGGGCTTCCCCGCGGCCCCGCCGGGGGAACTCACCGCCGCGCCGCGCATCCTGCGGCCGGGAACTTTTCATGCCGGGCGGCAGCCGGCGGCGGCAGCGAGCCCCTCCGCCGCTGGAAGTGGGCGGGGGAGGAAATACGAGGAGGAGGCGCGTCGAGCTCGCCGCCGCGGCGCCCCTTTTTTGGCCCGGGCCGCGGGGAGGTGGGAGGGGGCCGGGGGCTGCGCTGCGCCCATCAGCTGTGCGGGGCGGGCAGCTCGGGCTGGGAGGGGCTCCGGGCGCCGCGGTTGGTGGGGGGGAGAGCCTCGGGGTCTGTCCTGGGGTTCGTGCTTTGCCCGGGTTGGGAGCCAGCGATCACCGTCTGCAGAGGTGTTGAGTTTTGCAGAGGTCCCTTTATCTAACGGCGTTTAATCGCACGAAGCTTTTGTGAGCGAGACGGGAGAAAGCGAGGTGGGAAGGTGCGGAGCAGCGGGCTGCAGAGCTGCGTGCAGGCGTGAGACCGGCCCTCGGCCACAGCCTCGGCCATCTTCCCTCTTGAGCTCGCTTAATCCCTACGTTGAAAACGCTCAGGGCTGACGAGGCGCCTCGGTGGGCTCCCTGCCTCCTGCCCGGGAGCAGCGCTCCTTCCGCAGAAGACAAAAGCCCAGGGGGACAGCGCGCCTTCAAACCACCTGGAGGTGGTGTGCATCACCATTGCTAATGAGAGATTGATGGGAGGATCAGACCCTCAGGGAGCACCCCTAGGAAGAACATTCCCCTGCTTCTTGTCAGACGAGATGAACTCCCCGGTAAGGGGCTTTGTTCGTCTCCCTCTGGCTTTCAGATTTAGGGCTGCTGCTAAAGAACAGAGTTGCCACCAGGCTGATCATATTAACGTGAATATGATCCAGCAGGTGCTGTTGGCTTAAACTAGCCCTCCAGATCTGACCGGTTGCTAACCTGAGATCAAGTGACCTCTGAAATTATCTCCAGACTTCAACTTGTCCTGTTCAGCTGTCCTATTGAATCCGTCCCACTGGCCTTTGCAGCACGCTGCATTCTTCCCTTCCTACCCACTCCCTGAAAGCTTTAGGTTGTCGTTGCCTTGCCTTAATAAGGGAGGAAGCACCAAATGCTGCCCTTCCTCATACAGTGCCTGAGAACAGGGACATAGTGCAGCTGCTGCTGGTGGTGAAGGAAGTCCCCCGGCCACATTCTCTTTGTGAGGTCCCGAGCAAGTTCAAAGCAGTGCTCCCATCTGCAAGATGGAATGGTGGACAACAGCAACCCCACTGGAGCCAGCAGGAAAGTGTTTTACTGAAAGAAGTCACCCAGCAATGTGAAAACCCAGTCCTCTCAGCACACCATTATGTACAGGAGAGTGATAGGTGCCTTTCCTCTGCAAACAAGCACTACTGTCTTAGAATAACAACTTAGCGAGGTGGCAAAGAGAAGACGGGTCCTTGATAGGGGAGAGGAGACAAAGAGGACAATGGGGTGATAGTCCTGTGTGGGGCCAGGAGTTGAAGTCCACAATCCTTATTTATGAGTCCCTTCCAACTTGGGCTGTTCTGTGATTCTGTATCAGATGGTGCCAGCTGATACACGCTTCAATATGTACAACTTCCATCTGGAAGGCAGTTTGGGTCAAAGAACACAATGCAAAGCCAAGAGTCTGGCCCCATGAGATTGTTCCCACCATGAGCTGAAGAAGCATCCGGAGAGGTTCCTCAGCCTGCACACCTCACATGGGCAGAGGTAGGGGCCAAAGAATGGGTCCAGCTCATCTCCAAGGTGGTAGAAATTACAGTCCTGAGGGCAGCTTCGAGAAGGCAGCCAGACAGGCTGTGTGTTCCCTGCCCGTGTCCTCTGGGCACACCAGACCGCTTCATCCTCTTCTGTCTGTTTTTCCATCATACAAAGGAAATGCATACCCACTCAGTACAGAACTTTGGGGAAAGTGCTATGTATGCTTGCTTGTAGGAGGCAAAGAGTAATATCCTCCAACCTGCAAAGGAGGGATGTTTTTTAAAAAGTTTTCAGCAACATCTGAAATGCCACATTGATGTGCACATTGAGAATATCTTCCGTAGCAGAATTTAGACACTTTTAAGAGTTTCACCTACAAGATTCCTTTTAAATGACTCTGTGTGTATCCGAATGGGGGAGATTAAGGCTTTTTTCCTGCTAAAACTCCGCTGCATTTTCAGGAGGACACCTATTTTTAAACATCCTCTAGATTTACACTTGAAACCCCTACGCTCAGAAACCGGTATTCTATAATGGCTCATAGGTATTTTATGTGTAAGTATATACACACGCACACATTAGGCTCTCAGGAAACCATGATACATTAGGTACTCTTAAATAATTCATTGTTAAGCACCCCATGATAAATCTCTCATTGAACAGCGTGTGATTTCGCTGGAATTCTCGGTATATATTGAATGTGAAGCACTGTGGTAAATTTAACTGCACTGAGCATCAAATGTAAAAATGTTATATTGTACATTACATCCTGGCACACAACAGAGAATCTTTATTATTAAGGCTTCGGGGAATTTTTTTGAGGTAACTTCTGAAGTTCTGAAAAGGAAGGAGGGGGAAAAAAAAAAAGACCGAGCACCATTTCTCTGTAAAAGTTGAAATTTTCTCAGAGAGGGGAAATTCTGTAAGTAGTCTGTACTGAATTAACATAGAGGCTCTGTCAAGGAAATTGCTATCTAATAGCTTGCGCTCTGGGGCTCCTCATTCAGTGCCATTCAACTGGAAGGATCTTGGCTTACCTGGTGCCAGCTGCTGCTCAGAGCACTTCCAGGGCTCACCGCACTTGCAGCCAGGCCAGAGAGTTAGGGCAGCATCTGCTCCCACTTTCCTCCAGCAGTAGCTGTCACCCCGTATGCTCACACCTCTCCCCTGTCAGCAGCATCCAGGTGCTCTGCTGGAGGCAGGCAAGGACCTGGCAGCGCCTGCTGCCCTGAGCACCAGCTTCTTGGGAACCTTCTGCATGGCACTGCCTTCTGTCTGCCCTCCCAGGGCATCCTGCAAACTGATTCACTTCTGATTCGGACAAACTGGCACTGTGTGCTAGAAAAATGCTTCACTGAGGAACTGTGGTCCAACCTTATTTTCTGCTTCTCCCAGGTACTGCAGCTGCACATGGTGGCCACTGAGGAAAGTGTGAGCCTGTCCAGCTCCAGGTTAACAAAGTGATACGGGGTACAATTTACCGACAGATCTTCAAACTCTACTGAGTATTATTAACCAGAAATTCAAGAGGACATTCAGTTAGCTTCACAGTCGCTGATGCCACATCTAGTTAATTGTACCACGTTCATCATTAGTGTGGAACAAGTACCTGTGTTTATGATGCCATGCTAACATCTGTTTGGGTCGGCGTTTGTCCTCTCCTCAGAAGAGCCCTTGCAGCTGGGCCACTTCCTTACATGTGTTCAGTGGAGAGCTTCCTGGTTGGATATTAGGAAAAATTTTTTTCCGTAAAGAGTGGTGAGGCACAGGAACGGGCTGCCCATAGAGGTGGTGGAGTCACCACTGCTGGAGGTGCTCAAGAACCGTGTGGATGTGGCACTGAGGGTCTTGGTGTTGTGGGGATGGGTTGGCAGTTGGACTAGATGAGCTTAGTGGGCTTTCCGACCTTAACGATTCTGTGATTCCCAGCTGTAGCTCCTGTGGGCATGGGAAGCAATGCCCTCCTACCCAAACTGCCACCATGGCCTGGCATCAGCCCTTTTTCCTTTCAGCACACCAGACCTCATGTGTCCAGTCACAGCCACAGAGCAAATGAGCACATGAGACCAGTCCTCGCTTCAGAGGAAGGTGGTGAGGCCCAAGAGCTCCTCAGCACCCTGCAGCCTGGTTGCACGCCCTGCTTGGCCAAAGCTTCCATGATGGTGTGACAAAATCTAAGAGGAAAGAAAAAAAAAGAAACAGAAATAGCAGCCAAGTTAAACCAGTAACACTCTTTTCTCCAAAAGGCAGCCCCAGTGCCTGGGGTAGGCTGCACCCATGCTGCTGCTGAGCAGGCTGGACCACCTCAGACTCAGCACACCACACATCTAGCAGAGTTTTATGAGATGTGATGTTAAGCCTGTCTGGGAGGGAGTTGTTTCCAAGCAGAATTATGAGGAGGTCAAAAGAGGATCTGGGAGAAGGCAAAGGCTCATGTGCTATGCAGGGCATGATACCATTGGGGTTATATTAAAGGGCTGAGCCAGCTCTGAATCCCTTTCTCTTCCCCAAGATGGAGCTCACCCAAGGCCCTGAGCACAGTCTTGTGTCCAAACATGAGGCAAGTTTGAGCTTGGGCTCGTGCTCTGAAGCTAGCGTAAATGCATCCAAAAAAGTGAGTCTCAGAGCTTTAGGCTTTCCACTGAGTATTGCTTTTGTCTTTTCAGAAAGAATTATATATCTGTAGCTTGGTAGATTCTGTATTTTGCACCATTTTACTTCCTTGCAGCCATGTAGTTTTACTTTCAAGTGGGCTAGACAGGTTTCTTGCTGCCTCTGAACTTTTTTGTAAAGTTGCTCACATTTTCCACTGTATCTCCCTCTGCCTCAGCTCAGAGGTTTGCTCTGATCTTTCTTTTTCAGCATCTTTAAGTTCTGAACAGTTCATTTAAATACAGCGTGGTTTGCCAGCTTTTTTTTTTTTTTTTCCTTTGCAAAGCCTTTAATTTTATCTATTAAAGAAACAGAAGGCATGTATGCACTTAACGCATATTCACCTTGCCAAGGTGTTTACAGTAGGATACTTTTTCTTTACATTTATCCATTAAAATTTTAATATTTGGCTATTCAGTGTCACTCTATTATGTTTGCCACAGATGTGTATGGCAGAGGTCTCTTTAAATGTCGCTTTCTGAAAACATAAAAATAGTTTAGCAGCTCAAAGGTTGCAGGATTAGTGATGTTTTAGCTATTTCCTTACTTTTTTCTCAGTATTTTTTTTCCCTTCATACCCTTTGCAGTACATATATGAGTATAGGAAATCCACAAAGATGAAAAAATCCCTCTTCCATTGAAAAACTCAAGCTAAAATTTCTGATTACTGGGATGTTTACTTTGCCAGACATACTAGGAATCATTAGCTGCAGATCAACAACGAAGCTTCAAGTTCCTTTAGCCTTGTTTCCCTGACTGAAATGGCATTCAAGTAATACACAAAGTATTTGCAGTGGTGCATCACAAGCCAGCCATGTAGCATGTTTTATAAGCTATGGTATTTCCAATCATTTCAAGTTTGGCAGTCTCTTTTAAATCCAGAGGACTACAGCAATAACTAAATGACCTTGATGCCTTTCTGTTAATAACCTTGCTGTGTAATTTCTCTCTTTATGGGGTCTCCTGAGAAATCAGTTCCTCCAGCTGTGTTCAGTGAGTTTGTTAAGTCTTTATATATACACATTTTTTAAAGTAAGGCTAACAAGTGTCAGGCTCCAATGCTGAGGAGCACAGTTTCAAAACGTGCTTTAGCAAACAAATCCAAGTTAAAAAGGTGGCACTTGCAGTCTTGCAGCTGTCCCAAAATTTCACAAGGCCAAGGGAGTAAGAGCCATGGGTCTCATTCTCTAAAATCCTATCAGAGCAGCATGACTGCATCATATACCAATTTTCACACATGGATGAACAATTACCTATGTAGCATAAAAGACAGGGGGAAATTAGGCGGAGAGAGCAAGAGTGATACAAATAGGGTACCTGGCTCAAGGCTGGCTTGTCACTCCAGTAAGCAGCACTAAGAGACATACTTTGTTCTTGTCTGGCACAGAACAGCCCTGCTGACTAGGCCACTTCTGTCTGGGCTTCTTCAAGTCTGGTTACACCCCTTCCAGGAGGTTGTGCCATGGGCTCATCGCGTCCTGGTGGCAAAGCTCCTTTTCTCTGAGAAGGGACAAAACATTTCAGAACTGACTATATCTTCTATTTAAACAGTGCAATGTCTTAAAATGCAATATCAAAACATACTCTAGGGCACAATAGGAAGTCTCACAATTGCTCATCTATTGGCTTAAGTGGTACAACAGAAAAGGCAACGCTTCGTTTCCTTCAGAGGTGAATTGTTCCCCAGGTACCTCTTTGCAGCCAGTGCAGAGGCCTCTCCTATGTCACAAAAATATAGCATATATTGTATTTTGACTGAACAGTGGAATAACCATACCGATGAATTGAACGTGTGTGCGTTTGTGGAGAGGAGAACAATGGCACTGGAGCACAATTAGCCTTGCAGATACGCTCAATCAAGGAGAAATTAAGACATCAGATCCTCCATGGTTTTAATTGGCACAGCTTCAATGAGAAATATAAATCGTATCGTTGCTATCAAGATCCTACTGGAGGTTGCAGTGTACCTGGCTAGTCTGTGAAATCCCAAACATGGCCTGCTGGAGGTTGGCAGGGGTGCCGAACGCCCAGGTTGGTACTTCTCCAGTAAGGAGCTCAGCATGGAGGCCAGGCCTACAGAGATAAGAAGACACAGCCACATGAGGCAGATGCTGGGCACAGATAAGAGAGGAGCTTGCAGAGAGCAAACTCACTTCCATGAGGCTCTGGGCACAGGGGTATGAGAGGTGGGGAGGGTAGCACAGCTGCGAACCCTTCTTGGGGAGATACACACCTTGTGGAGTAATTCTTTCTGTGTGTATCATCAGGAAAGAGTTTGTGTGCCTGTTAAGTCCCACTGATGCCAGCAAGCGTGCTCTGAGGAAGAGAGCGCATATGCTTAAGTGCTCCTTGTATCAAATTTTACAGGCATTATTTGAACACATGAGTTATCCCATTGGCTTAGTGAGACCACTCATGCATAACATCCCTGACAGTCTTACTGCGGCCTCAGCAGTAAACTTCATATGGAAACAAAAAAAACCCATAGGGAATATTACCAAATCCAGAAAGCTCAGAGAACTGAAACATAACTGACAGCCCTGCCACCATTTCAGGGTCTATTTTGTGATCCAATCTTGCAAACAGCGTGCACAATGTGACTGAGATCATGGCTAACAAACCAGAGGTTGTGTCATTTTTTTCTTTTTCTTTTTTTTTTTTTTTGAGTCAGAAGCATTGTGTGAAAAAATTAAGAGCTTGTTCTGCAATGCTTGCTATGCATGATCTTATTATCAAGACTGTACTGCCATTCTGGTATAATGCTTTAGCAATCCTTTCCAAGTAAAAAACACAACTGTGCACTACTTTTGTTGTCTCTTAAATAAAAATACACAAAGCTGTAAAATCCCTTCTAATTATGTTACAAACCAATCGCATTAAAACCAAAGCTGATGCCAAGAACATTTTAATCACACAAGTCAAGAGATGCGGACTCGCTTCCCTGCATTGCTATGGACTGTAGAATGAAGTAAATGAGACAGTCTCAGTTAGGTTTATGGAGGCTAAACTCGTGGTACCCACCTTTTCATTTCTTCTTTCTTCCCACAAACTGCCAATAAGACTTTGTTATTTTAAGCATCCCTTTCTCATGCATTTTAATTACTTCTTCATTGTCCACTCCCATTCCCAGGGCTCACTGTGCTATGTTCTGT